GAATTTAATTTACGAGTCTGTACAAAACCTTGTCCCACCTCTCCTTTGGGACCAGTAGGGAAGGAGAAGCCCATAGCGAGGAGCTGGGGACCACCAGATCCTGCTTCAACAAGTAGTCAACTTCCTCCCTCATCTTAACCTTCTTCTCTGGACTAAGTCGGTAAGGATTCTGTTGTATAGGAGTGGCGTTAGGATTGTGTTCAATATCATGGAGAACATTATGACATCTACCAGGACCATCCCTGCATCCGCCCAAGTTACCTTGTAGAATTTTAATAGTATCCTCCTGCTCTTGACCAGTTAAGTTTGGTAAGTATTCTTTAATGTTGTTTATTATATAAGAGTTTTCTTTCCTGCTTTCTACAATTGGACTATCCTCCCCAACTAAATCTATGTCCTCAGCAGATAACGCCTGGTTGGCGAGGACAAGTCTCTCACCCGAGTCACTCTGAGGATTCCTTCTGCGATACAATTTCATTAAGTTAAGATGCACTGTACTAATTGAAAATCCTTTCTACGGTCAGGAGTTAGAGCAACGGAGTTTACTTTATTTGATTGACGAGATACTTTGTAAGGGCCTATGTATTTACATTTGAGGGGTGAACCTGGAATAGGCAAATACTGCAATACTTCATCTCCAGAATTGAATTTACGGATCTTAGCCTTTCGATCATAAATACTCTTCATCTTACTTTGAAATTTCATTAACTTATCTCGTGCAATTTTCCTTAATTTACCTAATTCGGATTAAAGATTCTCAAGATATTGACCAACAGTCTGATTAGGAATCTCTGCAACTTGACTAAACCATTGTTCTTTTGTGACTTTAAGAGGTCCTATTACTTGACGACTATACAACATTTTAAAAGGTGATAATCCAAGTGATTCTTGTCGGCATTTTCCAATTGCAAAGCGCATGAAATGAATTCCTTCGTCCAAATCAGCTTTTGTGTCAAAACAAAATCTGCTAAGCATGGATTTTACTGTTTGATAGTATCTTTCTAGGGAACATTGTGACTGGGGATGATATGCCGATGACAAATTTTGTGTAATGCCTAACTCCGATAACACTTTGGAGAAAAGGTCACTTGTAAAATTAGATCCTTGGTCAGATTGAATTTCCTTGGGGATACCTACTTGTGTAAAAAAAAAAAATATCAGCAATGGTTTTAGCTCTAATATTTTTTACTGGGAATGCCTCAGAATACCTAATTGTAGGGCACATTATAGTCAACAAATATTGGTTATCTTTCTTGGTGTTTGGAAGTAGGCCCACACAATCTATCAGAATTTTGTTAAAAGGTTCCTTCTTAACAGGAATAGGGTTAAGTGGAGCGGGAGGAATAACCTGATTGGGCTTCCCAAGTGGTTGGCAAGAATGACATATGGTGATGAAGTTAGCCACTTGTTTCTTCATACCTGGCCAGAAAATTCCTGACTAACTTTGTTATAAGTTTTACATATCCCTAAGTGACCATTTAAGGCATCATGCGCCAGTTCTATGAACTGTACTCTAACAGAATAGGTTACCGCTATTTGATGGGCTTCAGCACAGGAGTCATCATCCTTTTAAGTATCTTGGACGATATTTTCTCATTAAGACATCATCTTGATGGTAAAAACAAGGGACTTAAACAATGTCTGACTTGGGTACTGTTATTTGATGAAATTTGGTAAGTGAATTATCCTCTTTCTGAGCTTTAATTAAGTTGTCCCTGGTCATAGCCTGGCTGGGGAGACCACAAGTGAAAGTGAATGTTGTCTCCCGTCGATTTTCCATTTCTTGCCTCATACGCTGTACATTTCTACAATCTTCTGTGTTGTGGTATGGAGACTGATGTACTATACTTTAGTGTTTGGAGACATTTTATATACTGTGTAATGTCCCTTTGGAGTTTTTGGTTTAGCAGGGCTATCTGAAATTTTAAGGTCCTGCGAGGATTCTTTCCTTCGATCCTGCCTCTGGTTGGCTGGGGACTTCTCTGCTTGTCCTGCAAACCATAATTTTTCTGTGGAATGTACCTTACGTTTGCAGACTTTGCGAAAAGGTATATTTTTGTGTTTGGTTCCCATGACAGACTGTGGTTGTTCCTTGAAGCTGGCGACTGGTGCCACTGACATCACCCTAGGAACATTTTCCTTGGGTTTCGCAATTTCTTCTACATAATCTACAAGTTTAGTCAATTTTTTAAACTTTCTTTTGGGCTTTCGTGCGTAAGGGTTCATTTGGTGACAAGAAAAACTGATGGAATTCAATAATCCTGTAGAAATTTACTTTAGACAAGTTGTCATTTTTATCGAACCAATCTGAGGAGTCCATGTAAGATCTGAGATCTATCTTAGTGAGTCCCGCACAAATTTGGGCTTCTTGTGCTTCGTGTGTGAGCAGAGTGTCACCTGTCCTCTCTGCCATCTTAAAAATCCAAGTAAGTGGACCTCCTTTGGTGCCCGATCCAAAAAAGGAAATGAATTCCTTCCTAAATGTTTGATAATCATCCGTTTCTTCGTCAATGACTGAAGCATAGATACCTCTAGCTTCCCGACTACCGGTTTTCATAAGGTTTCGGACGTATGAAATTTTATCTACGTCATTGGTGACATCGTTATTTTTCATTACATCTTCGTATTTACGCAAAAATGCTAAACTAGTATAATCAGGATCCTCGGCAGTAAACTATTGTACCTTAATGTTATTTAAAAGTAGCCTCACCGTTTGACCGACCGATGTAGTCAGTGGGTTAGTAGAACCACCTGTTGCCATTTTCGTTGTGTTAGTTAAAGAACTAGCTTTAGAAACAGGTGAAGGCAATGGGTAAATGTTACCTGACCTTAATTGTCTACTGTGTAAATCCTCCAACTGAGAATCAATGAAATTTTCACAGCTAGCTAAAGAGTCGGTAGGTGTTAAATCTATTTGGCAAATTTGTGGTAATTCTTCCTCACTATGAGTTGCCACTAGTTCCTGTGAATTATTAGATGACTGGCTATCAGAGTCTGAGTCACCAATTTCCCGTTTGATAACCAAAAATTTTGGAAGTGGGTCCATGTATAGGACTATTTATCACCTCACTCACTGTATGAAGACTCACTGCGTTGCCCACTCACAGGGTATATATATATTTATATATATAGCCTACATATATATACATATTTATAAATATATATATATATATATATATATATACATATATATATATATATATATATATATATATATATATATATATATATATATATATATATATATATATATATATATATATATATATATATATATATATATATATATATATATATATATAAAAGACAGCTAAGGTACTCCGTTGTTTCCATTTTCCCCGTGTGATTTTATCAAGATTTATCTTATCCACGTTTTTCATTGTGGATTTACATGTAATATATATATATATATATATATATATATATATATATATATATATATATATATATATATATATATATATATTTAGTAAACGTTACTCTGACCACATGCGCTTACGTGATACTGATGAATCCCTAATAGAGGTTCACAACCTGCATAAGCTCGTTGAACAGGCTTTGTAGTGAAATATAACAGAAATACAAGTTTCTTTTAGTATCCTGGTGGTCAGAGGTAAGCGTTCCCCGGTCACAGTCATGGGCTCGTGGGCCGTGGGTTCGAATCCTGGCAGGTTGAGTGTTGATTGTATGAAGTCCGCGCGTGATTTAGTGGGCTAATGAAAATGAATATATATATATATATATATATATATATATATATATATATAGTAGTGATGATGGACGATGTTATATGGGTGATGATGGATGTTGTTATATGTAGTGATGATGGGTGGTGTTATATGTAGTAGTGATGATGGATGGTGTTATATGTAGTGGTGATGGATGAAGTTATATGTAGCGATGATGGATGATGTTATGTAGTGATGATGGGTGGTGTTATATGTAGTGATGATGGATGGTGTTATATGTAGTGATGATGGTGGTGTTATATGTAGTGATGAGATGTTGTTTTATGTTATATGGGTGGTCCCTACAATCCTCTTTTGAGTTAAGCATTTAATGCGCACATCAATGGAGTCTGTAATTCAGTCGTTCCTTCATCAAGTATGTTTGCAGATACGTCAACAAAGAATCTGGATCAAGCTGATCTTTGTGGAAAAAGGATGGAAATCATGTTAAGTGACACAGTTTCCAGCAGGGCCGTTTTATATGCAGCAATGAAGCCCAATGGAGAATTTTAGTTTTCCTATACACGAACTATGTCCAATAGTAGTTCATCTGGCTGTTCACCTGAAAATGGACAAAGAGTATACTTCTATGAAGAGTTCTACAAATCAAATGGCAAATCCTGCTGATACGACTCCTCACTGCATTCCTTAAGCTTTCACAGGAAGATGAGCTTGCTCAAATACTCCTGTATTTTTGACGTACCTAAAGTTCTACATATATGGCAGTTTCAATGAAAAGTTCCAGAGAAGAGTCAAGGATCCGATGTTGAAGGATATCCAGGATAAAGTCAGGCAATGCTTTGGGACGTGTCTACACGGTTCACCCCAACAACTTTGAATGCTATTGTTTGAGACTACTTCTTTGCTCCACAATCGTGGCCCAACATCATATGCAGCACTCAAGACAGTGAATGGACAAGTCTGCAGAACTATCAGAAGCGTGCAATCTAATTGGTCATTGGAAGATGAGATGGTCGGAATGACATTATTAGAAGAGGCAACAGTTACTCAATCGCCAAAGAGAATGAGGAACCTGTTTGCCATCAAGGATTGCTACATGCAGATTCCCTTTCCCCTAAACTCCCAAGCCAACTCTGAAAAACCACCAAGAAAGTCTTCAGAGGATCTGCTTCATCACAAGAAGAGAACATCCTGGTCAAGAGATTGAGTTAATGGATGACATGTTCAACAGGGCTCTGATCATACTGGAAGACAAAGTGATGGAGCTGCAGAAAAACCTGACTGGATTTTGGATTGCCTTCCCCTAAACAGAGAAGAACCAGTAGCTGCAAACAGGACTTGCTCAGAGAGACTGACTACCAGTTGAAGCTCCTGGTGAATTTTGTTGAAGAAAATGAGCCTCACCTGGTGATGCTCATGAATAGATCTTGCAAGCGACAAGCGGAGCAGGAGGTATGATCTTTCTGATGCACCTGGCGGGACAGGAAAACATTCTTGATCAACCTTCTGTTGCCACAAAGTACGTCATCAGGGGAAAAATTGCCTTGCTGCAGCATCCTCAGGCATTGCTGCAACACTACTAGAAGAAGGACGTACTGTACACTCAACTTTTAAACTGCCTCTCAACCTCGCTCAATGATAATCCAGTGTGCAACATCAAAAAGGACTGGCAAAGACAAAACTCTTAGAAAAATGCAGCCTCATAGTCTGAGATGAATGCACTATGTCTCACAAGTTAGTTTGAAGCAGTGAAGAGGACCCTTGCAAGACATACGAGAAAATGACCAGCTCATGGGTGGCATTACAATGGTCATTGCTGAGACTTTCGCCAGACTCACTGTCATTCCTCGGGAAGCACTCCAGCTAATGAACTGGAATGTGTGCCTCAAGGCATCATACCTCTAGAGAAGTGTTCAGACACTCACCCTATCCACAAACATGACAGTACATCTGCTGGGGCGAGCTCAGGATGCTGGATGGTTTGCAAACCTTCCACTACAGATTGGGAATGGAAACCGTCCCTAATTCAGAAGGACAAATAATCATTCCTCAAAGATGTGGAAATGTTGTAAAGTCCTCAACTGAGCTCACTAACACGGTCTACCCAAACATTATCCAATTACCTGTAAAGGATCATCAAGTGGCTGTGTGAACGTGCAGTTCTGGAAAATTAAAGAAGCGAAACAGTGGCTGAAATCAACATGACTTTACTCAGACAGCTTCCAGGCAGTGAGACTCCTCTCATTCAAATTTGTTGATACAGTAATCGACCAGGACCAAGAAACCAGTACCCTGCAGAATTCCTTAATTCTTTGGAGCCCGATGGAATGCTCCCTCACCACCTCACCTCTTTTCAAGATTGGAACTCCTATAATGCTCTTAAGAATTGAACCACCAATCCTCTGCAATGGCACAAGATTGGTGGTGAAGAACATGATGCCACACGTACTGGAAGCTACAATAGTGACAGGAAAAGCTAAAGGAGAGGACGAGATTATACCAAGGATACCTCTCATCATCACTGACCTGCCATTTGATTTCACGCGACTTCAGTTCCCGGTTAAAGTGAACTTTGCCATGGCCATCTACAAAAGCCAGGGACATTCCCTAAAGGTAGTTGGCCTAAACCTGGTGTTTCCTTGCTTCTCTCATGGATAGTTCTATGTTGGATGCTCCAGAGTGGGAACTGGCAAAAAAATCTGTAACATACTTGCTGCTAATGGCAAAACTAAAATGTGGAGCTCCCGAGTGGGTGGCGTCTCATTGCGGCCTATGCTGAAAGAGCCGCCGGGAGGGCTATTCAGTGTGGGAGGGTATTCTTAGTGTATATATATATATATATATATATATATATATATATATATATATATATATATATATATATATATATATATATATATATATATGTAATATTCAGAAATTTAAGAGTAATTTCAAATGCCGCGCCATTGGCGATACTGAGTTCAAGGTCGTCTGAGGGAAGAGAGGCGCCCCTCCATAGTGGAGAGAGGTTGTGAACTAGGCCTATATGATATTAAATGTGTTAAGGACTATTATTGAATGTGGAATTATTATGATTTATCAGTCTGAATAATGTTACGGGTTCCAAGGAGTTATTAGTTGGCGGAAAATATGTCACGTAGGCCTAAGCTATATGCCTTGGAGAGAGGCGACGCTGGCTGGTCCTCAGTCACTGGAAGCATGGTCCAGCAAGACGTCCCTGGGTCCGCTGCGTCACAGAAATAGTCACGTGGCCTAGTCACCTGTGCTGCACTATTGCAGTATAACAAGTAAGTCTCTATTCGATCTCAGACAGGGTTTAGATGGCAGTGATAAAGTTAACAAGACCTAACAGTGAGTTCATTTCAGGGTTTCCGTCAGAACCCACTGACTGAGAGAAATTGACTGGAGAGATTGACTGCCGTTTGAGACTGCTGCTGATGATTGAGGGTGGGATTGTCGCCATTGGACCAACCAGTGTAGGCCTGTCACTGTTTAGCTGGGTATCAGCATCTCTTGAGTGAATCTAGCCGTCTGGGTGCCCAGCTGACGACGGACGATCGTTGGCATCAGCCTTTCACCTTGGCTTCACAATACCACATGTCTCAAGCAGCTTAGTGAAACCCTTGCTAACGGGAAGCTAAAGCTTCTCTCAACTGTACAATCTGATTGGCTCACTCCCTTCCGCTTCATGGATGGACTGGGGTGTGAAGCTAGCTGAGTGATACAGGGTCGCACACTGGGGCCAAGAGTCAGTGGAGTTTAGAGGTACACTTTCCAAGGTGGAGAAAGGCTGATTTGGGCCTTCAACTACGGGTGCCTGTTGGTTGTCCTTAAACGACTACAGAGTGCAGGTGGAATCTGTGTGTGAGGTTAGGGATGATGGTTCACGGGTATTGGACTCAGTAACGTCTTTTATAATACAATATTTTTGTCTGTAGTTAATACTATTTTTCAGTTACTAATGTATGCTGTGTGCATTTAATATTTCTTTATAGTTTCAATCTCAGATATAACCTTTGTCTCTCAGAGTAGTTAGGTTAGGAGGTGTGTGTATCTGTTGGTGTAACATAATTATATTGAGTCTATCATTCATTGTAGAGTTATTAATTTCTTTATTTTTTAATACCATTTTCTCAGTGCTGATATAATTTTGTTGAGTGCCCTTTAGAGCCTATTCATTGTAGAGTTATTAATTTCTATTTTTTATACCATTTTCTCAGTAGATATTATTTTGTTGAAACCCCGGCCTGCATCTGTTGGTTTAACATAATTATATTGAGTGCTTTAGGCCTATTCATGGTGGAATTAATAATTTTATTTTTATACCACTTCCCAAGAGTGGAGGATATTATTCTGTGAAAACCCTTAAGGCCTGTTTCATGTGTGCAACATTTCTTAATGCTTTAAATTTATTTTTGCCGGAGTTTCTAATAATTTCAAAATCATGTATATTTTTCCCCCAGAGTAGTGTTTAAGTTCGTTAAGAGGTGCACATATTGGTGTACCATTATTTGATTGTGTTTGTAGGTGAATATAAGTGTCTAAATTTTACAGTGTGTCTCTATTCATCCCAGTCACAGACGCTATCCTTCCACTGGTCACGGACAATTCATTTTGTTAGTAAATTTAAGTGTTTTTGCTGGTTTAGGATTTCTCACATAAGGCCCACTGTTATTACCATTCTATAATCTTTTAATCCCAAGTCAAGGGAGAAAATAAAGTCCAATAAATTTGGACTGGTTATATATATATATATATATATATATATATATATATATATATATATATATATATATATATATATATATATATATATGCTGATAAATTGTCATGTAGAAAAAGAAAAACTAGTTCAAGTGCTTGTAAATAACTTATGTTTTTCTTTTTTTTAGATAAGACTAGTGATTTATTTGCATTATATATATGCAAGTAAATCACTGTAGGTGCGCGTGATTCAGGTATTATGCTGGATAAAAGAAAAACAGTTCCAAGTGTGTAATTCCATCTTCAGTGAGTACAGACTAGAGAGAGTAATACAAATCAAGGTGTATATATACAGAGGAGGGTGAACCAGGTCCACAATGGTCAGGTATTAGGTAATGACCCTACTAATCTTTAATAGCACACAACGGTTGCTGGTCAGGTCAGATGGTCGGCGACCAGGCCTTCTCACCTGATCCAAATCTCTTAATTACAAAATTGTCCAGCTTGTACATGCCGTTACCCAAATTCATAGTGAATGCTTGGTATGTTTAATAAAGACTAGATTCTATGATGTTCCTACTATCAATTGAATTACATGGTAATATTGAGGAGGCATTATCCCAGTCAATGCAATGCTTGTTATCCCTCAAATGAACAAATGAATCATAATGATGCGCTTGGAATCTCTGTGTTTTCTTTCTTTTCCTTGTGGTTATTGTATATATATATATATATATATATATATATATATATATATATATATATATATATATATATATATATATATATATATATATATATATATATATATATAATATAATCTTGGTCGTGGATGTTATTATCATGATCGTGGTTGTCATAATCATGCTCGTGGTTATTATAATTATGGTCGTGGTTGTTATAATCATAGTCATGGTTGCTATAATCATGGTTGTGGTTGTTATAATCATGGTCGTGGTTGTTATAATCATGGTCGTGATTGTTATAATTATAGCCTGGTTGTTATAATCATGGTCCTGTTTGTTATAATCATGGTCGTGATTGTTATAATCATGGTTCTGGTTGTTATAATCATGGTCCTGGTTGTTATAATCATGGTCCTGGTTGTTATAATCATGGTCGTGTTTGTTATAATCATGGTCGTGTTTGTTATAATCATGGTCGTGGTTGTTATAATCATGGTCCTGGTTGTTATAATCATGGTCGTGATTTTTACAATAAGGGTCGTACCTGAGACTATCACAGGTAGAATAAACCCCAAACCTTATCTTTAATCTCAATAAACCTAGATTAACCTCACCTAATCAACAGGATTAGAGACCATTAGGATTGTACCACCAATACCGATACATTTCACACTGGATTAATAACAAAACATTTAATCACATTTCCAATAACTAATGTCTTACGGATATCTTATCAAGTTGTGAGTCTTACGTGTCTATATAATTATGTTTTATTCTTACAAATATTTATAGTTCGTTGTGTATTGTATTGTATGGTATGGTATTGAATGGTATTGTATGGTATGGTATTGAATGGTATTGTATGGTATTGTACTGTATTGTACTGTACTGTACTGTTTTGTTTTGTATTGTATTACATTGTATTGTATTGTATTGTATTACATTGTATTGTATTGTATAACAGTGGGCCCTTCGTGCCATGTTCGCTGTCCGGCTGACAGCTTACAGCGAATGAGGGTGCGCCAAGTCCATAGACTTGCATGGTTAATTAGGGTGAGCCAAGTCCATAGACTTGCATCTTTTTCCATCGTAAATGAAATTGTTAATTAATGCCTTCCTAAAGAAACCATCGACATGGGACCAGGTTTGTTCCACTCCACAAATTTTTTGCGATTTTTCCACCAAGCTTCCTGTAATGATGTGTTAAATTTACTATTATATATTCTAGTCACCTTACCCTGTGCTGTTAAGGTTTTAACTGTCATTATTTGTTCAAGCCCATCTTATTTCTTTATTTTGTATTGTAACCAGCATTCTTTGTTCTCTAACGACCATCTGGATCGTTAAACGACCCACCGGCGGGTCGCTTGGCGGGAGCCGACCTTATATATAGGACCCACCAACTGACTTGAGTCAGTTCAGTCCTCTTGTCATACAGTACACATCCTTTGAGTGTCACTTGTTACTTATACTTAATTTATTTGTGTTGTTCCTGTCGCCACCAATGTGGTATATCTATGTGAGTACCTATTTATGTCTCTGTTTGTGTCCATCAGTATTTGCTTAGTTGTATTCAAGTAATTCAGTGTTGTTTCACGTTAGTTAATTTCAGTGTTAGTTTTTATATGTTTATGCAGTGTTAACGTAATCCAATGCTTTATTTTTATTCTTTTGATGTTTCGATGTTTTGTATCACTTGTGTCTTAAAAGTTTCGATGGTGAATCAATTTGTTGTGACAGCCTACGAGGCTCTTTATTGTGTTAATATTTAATCAATTAAATTCTTAAAGGTTTACTTTATTTATTTTTATTCTCTTTTAATTTACTTCACTTTTTGTTTGGTTACGCCTAGAACCTGGATATTTAAGTAAATTAAGAGACGGCGTAACAATATATATATATATATATATATATATATATATATATATATATATATATATATATATATATATATATATATATATATATATATATATATATATATATATATATATATATATATGTGTGTGTGTGTGTGTGTAATATTCAGAAATTTCTGTGTGATATTTAGAGACGTAAATACCAATAATGGCGACACTGAGTCATTCAAGGTCGACTGAGTGATAGTGGCGCTGCCCACACATAGTGGGAGCTTCTGGAACTGTGCCTATATTGTATTAAGTGTACTCTAGCGAATTAATGTGGACGCAAATCAAGAAATTAAATGACAGTTATTAAATTAAAAACATTTATAGATCTTTTCTCAGTCTAAATATGTTATGTATGCCCAAATTAAGCTATTAGTTGTGCGGAAAATATGTCCCTAGCCCAAGCTCACGCCTTGGGGCACGCTCTGGCTGGCCCAGTCACGTGGCAGCGGTCAAGCCAGAGGGACATTGCTCTGCCCATCCAGGAAAACGACCACGTGGTCTGGTCTCCTTTGTGTTACGACATCAGTATTAATAAGAAAGTTTTATTCGATCTCAGACAGGGTTTAGATAGGGCGGAGGAGAAGTTATCAATAGCTAACAGAAGGTATATTGCAGGGATTCTGTACGGCCCACTTGGTCTGAGCCCACAGGGTCTTGAGCTGTCTTGAGCCCATGCGGTTGAGTGAGCAGTATGAGGGTTGGAGAGGAGCCAGCTGTCTGAGTTGACAACTAACTACATAGGACCCGCGTCCGCCCCCGGTTGACGATCGTTTGGGGTCATCATATCTCCTCCACCTCGGTTCACAATACCACATATCTTCAAGCAGTTTAGTAAAAACCTCTAACTAACGGGAAAATAGAACCCCCCTCAGCTGGACAGGTTTCAGTGGCTGACTGGCCCCCACTCTCTTCCGTTTCATGGCTGTACTGAGTGTAAACTGAGGCTATCTGAGTGAATGAACGGTCACACACTGAGACCAGGAGACTAGTGGGTACTTAGAGACATTTATCTTCCCTTAGCATTGGTGTGTTCTGAGCTTGTGCGATGCATGTTCCGGGAAATAGTGGCAAGGTGTGTTTAGAATTTCCCTAGTCCAGGTGTGAGAACAAGGCTCCTCATGGTTGATTTTCACAGGTGAGACGTAAGAAATCATATCCAAAGTTGTGAAGGGCTTGTTAGTGCCTTAAGAAAAATAAGGGTGCATGCTGAACCTAAGTGTGAGGTTAAGGAGCATGTTTCACGGGTATTGGTGGAGAAAAACATTCATGACTCCTGAGTTCTAGAGAAAATGCTGACAAATTTAAAACAAGGGAACACCCGCATGCCTGATGGGTCATGAGTGATTTTTTTTTTTTTTTTTGTAAAGTCCGGCTTCCTTGGCAGGCTAGTAGTTACACCCTTTGGGTTATTTGGCCAGTTGGGATTGTAATAGTTTGTGGGTCATTCCAGACAGGCGATGATTGATCCATGTGTGTAGCAAATAATTTCTTACTATGTCTTACCCCAGTTCTCAGGGACTGATATTATTTTGTTGAGTGCCCTTAAGGCCTATTCATGGTGGAGTTAATAATTTCTTAATGTTTCATGCCATTTCCCCAGTGCTTGATAGTTCATGTATTGTGTCACTAAGGCATGTGAGATAACGAGGAACTGTTTTCAGATGAGCTCCTCATTCTGAGGTAAGTCGCACTGTTACCTTAGTAGTGTTTCATAAGGCATTTAATATTTTCTACCTAATTTTGATATCTTGTATAACCTTTGTTCCGCAGTGTAGTGTCTTAAGCCAGGCTAAGAGGTGCGCATATGTTGGTGTACCATTATTGTTTGTGGCTGTGGTGTTGGAGGGAATAGAAGTGTTAAATTTTACAGTGCGTCTCATTCACCCCAATCACAGGTGCTATCTTTCCACGGGTCACGGAGAATATATTTTTTAAAGTAATTGTGTTTGTGAGTAATAACTCCCGACCGGTTACATATTTACATATATATATACATATATATATATATATATATATATATATATATATATATATATATATATATATATATTTCATGTAGATCCACAATCTTCAGAGGCAACTGGATTACATGGATAGAGAAGCTTAAATATACAGGGTGACCTGTCTTGAATAAAGACGAAAGCTAAGGTGCTCCGTTGTTTCCTTTTCCGGTGATTTATCGATATATATATATATATATATATATATATATATATATATATATATATATATATATATATATATATATATTCATATATATATATTTATATATCTTGATAAAATCAAGATTTATCTTATCCACGTTTTCTATATATATATATATATATATATATATATATATATATATATATATATATATATATATATATATATATATATATATAATATTTTATTAGCCCAATTACTTTATTGGGAATGAAATATATATAATCTTGTTTCAAAGCCGGATTTGGTAAAATGTTATCTGACCACCTACGGATATGGTGGTCCCTATTAGATTTTCACGGCGCCATAAGCTCGTTGAACAGGCTTTGTGAAATATAACAAAGTCTAGGACTGCTTTTAGTATCCTGGTGGTCCAGCGTTAGCGTTCCCCGTCACAGTCAGATTGTGGGCCGGGTCTGAATCTCTGGGTTGAGGTGTTGATTGTATGTAGAAGTTCTGCGGCTTTATTGGGCTAATGAAAATATATGGATCCTCGTGTTTCGCCGGATTTGGTAAACGTTACTCTGACCACCTACGTGATATGGGTGGTCCCATTAGAGGTTCACGGCGCCATAAGCTCGTTGAACAGGCTGTGTGAAATATAACAAAGTCCAGGACTGCTTTTAGTATCCTGGTGGTCCAGCGGTTAGCGTTCCCCAGTCACAGTCATAGGATTGTGGCGTGGGTCTGAATCTCTGGCGGGTTGAGGTGTTGATTGTATGTAGAAGTCTGCGGTTTTATTGGGCTAATGAAATATATATGGATCCTCGTGTTTCAAGGCGGATTTGGTAAAGCGTTACTTCGACCACCTACGCATACTGGTGGTCCCTTGATTAGAGGTCCACGGCGCCATAAGCTCGTTGAACAGGCTTGTGTGAAATATAACAAAGTCTAGGACTGCTTTTGTATCCTGGTCCAGCGTGTTAGCGTCCTCGGTCACAGCCATAGGATTGTGGCGTCTGAATCCTGGCGGGTTGAGGTGTTGATTGTGCGTAGAAGTTCGTGCGCTTTATTGGCCATGAAATATATGGATCCTCGTGTTTCGGGCCGGATGGTAAACGTTACTCTGACCACCTACGTGATATGGGTGGTCCCCATTAGAGGTTCACGGCGCCAAGCTCGTGAACAGGCTTTGTGTGAAATATAACAAAGTCAGGACTGCTTTAGTATCCTGGTGGTCCAGCGAAGTAGCGTTCCGGTCACAGTCTAGGATTGTGGGCCGGGTTCGAATCCTGGCGGGTTGAGGTGTTGATTGTATGGTAGAAGTCTGCGTGTTTATTGGGCTAATGAATATATATGGATCCTCGTGTTTCGAAGGCGGATTTGGAACGTTACCTGACCACCACGTGATACGGGTGGTCCCATTAGAGGTTCATGGCGCCATAAGCTCGTTGGCAGGCTTGTGAATATAACAAAGTCTAGGACTGCTTTTAGTATCCTGGTGGTCCAGCGGTTAGCGTTCCCGGTCACAGTCATGGATTGTGGCCGGGGTTCGAATCCTGGCGGGTTGAGGTGTTGATTGTGTAGAAGTCTGCGCTTTATTGCTAATGAAATATATATGGGATCCTCGTTTTGGAGGCCGATTGGTAACGTTACTCTGACCATCTACGCGATATGGGTGGTCCTTTGGAGGTTCACGGCGCCATAAGCTCGTTGAACAGGCTTTGTGTGAAAGATAACAAAGTCTAGGACTGCTTTTAGTATCCTGGTGGTCCAGCGGTTAGCGTTCCCCGGTCACAGTTATAGGATTGTGGGCCGTGGGTTCGAATCCTGGCGGGTTGATGTGTTGATTGTATGTAGAAGTCCGCGTGCTTTATTGGGCTAATGAAATATATATGGATCCTCGTGTTTCGAAGCCGGATTTGGTAACACGTTACTCTGACCACCTACGTGATACGGG